GGCTGTTATTAAGTTTCTGAGAGCAAAGAGCCATATGAGCGTGATCATACACTTTGCAATGTTACAAACATTGCCAAATCAGGGGGAAGCAAACTCAATTTATGCCTTTGAGTAGCTTTAACATGTCTTTAAATATACTTACATGACAGACTGTGTGGTTCATTGTAATCTGAAAAACAAATGGACAATTATTGGGAAAATATTCCAAGAAAGTCTCAGCAGGACTAAGTACATGGGGTTTTATTACAAGATTGTAGTTATTGAATTCATGACTTGTAACTTTGTGACTCTGACAGGTTTTTGCCTTCTACTTTTTGTTATCTGCTTTTGAGAGGTGTATTAAAATCCTCTTCATTTTCATTTCAAATTACTCTGTTTCAACACTGAAGGTTGGACTTGATGATCTGAGAGGCCTTTTCCAACCTTAACGAGTCTACGATTCTAACACAGAATCCCAGAATGGTCTGGGTTGGAAGGGACCTTAAAGATCATCTCATTCCAACCCCCTTCATTGGACAGGGACACTTTTCACAAGACCAGGGTGCTCAGAGCTACATCCAACACGGCCTTAAGCACTTCCAGAGATGGGGCAGCCACAACTTCATTGGAATAACACTTGGGGTGGTTTGTTACCATCAATGTAGAGGCTCTGGCTGTTAAGGCTGAAGTGTCCCAGCTTGGTGATGCCATTTGTCATGTTGCTCAGTTCATGGTAAATGGTTTCTCTGTTGAATTTGGGACCTGAAGGCTCATCTCTACAGCTGCACATGGCATCTACTGCTGTGTCATCCCTGTTCTTATTTGACCTGGGAAATGAGGCAAAGTTCTAGGTGTCTTAGCCATTATTGAGAAATTCATCTTAACTTTTAGGACATGATCAAAGATATATATAAAAAAAAACACTCAGAGGCAAAACTACCAATTAAAAAAAAACCCACTCAGACATGTGTTGAGTGCTGAGAAATGGGAAGGAACATTTTAAGAAGCAGGTCATGGAGACATGGCTCTTACCTGAATGCCATTACTTTGCACCCAATATAAGCAGGGCCAATGCTGCTTCTTTGGAGTAAAGGGTCAACCTAGAAATTCAACAATAACATGTAATTAGGTCAAATGTCACAGCAAAGGTGAGAGATCAGAGATATTAAAAGAATTAGGCCCAAGCAGGACATGGTTTTGCCTGACTTACATAATAGGACATGACTTTTTCTGTTGACTTGAATTTCCTGGAATTTGGTGTTGCCATATCTGCAGTGAACGGGAGGTTGGTTATAGTGACATTCAAAGTGAAGTTCCTCACTGCTGGTGGCAGAGGTTGTGCATTTTGAGGAGCAGCTGCAATGAGAAAGGAAAGTCAATGCTTGAAAGTCCAATTTATGATCATCACACCAAGAGGAAACACTATAGGAAAAATTCTCAGATATTCTATTTGGCTTCAAGGTTGGAGAACATGTGGTTCTATAACAGGCTCCTGAATTCTCTGAACACTGTTTTATAAATCTAGCAGAGCTCTTGGTTGCTTGGTCCAACCTGCTTTTTTTGTCTGTTGCTAATGAGCAAAATCTTCTTGCCACTTCAACAGCTCTTCAAAGGTACTTACATAGCTCAGGCTGCAGCTCATTGTAACCTGTGGGGGGAAGAAAAGGGACATATTTGAGAAACCTGCTTCCAATCTGGAAGGTCTGGCACATGTTTCGATACAGAACTGGAACAGGTTTTTTCTGAGAGGTCCTGTGTAAATATTTGATATGAAAAACTGATTTGATGACAATCTGTGCATAAATGCACATTCATCCTGCTCTGTATTGTTGGCAAGCTGCTGCTTTTCTTAGTACTGAACAGAATTTTCCCTTTCCTAGGGATGTTGAGAGGGAATTACCCATTCCCTAAATCCAGTTTAGAATCCCAGAATGGTCTGGGTTGGAAGGAACCTTAAAGAGACTTTGTTTCAAACCCCTGCCATGGGCAGGGAACCATTTGACTTCTAGACTGGCAACTTCTGTATGATTTTGTCAAGTGCCATTCAGTTCTAGTGCTGTTCCTTGACCTTGGCAGGTCAATCCTTGTATTTTCCCGGCAATGACCTCTGGTGTGTTTTGATATGTTACTGAGTGCAAAGCAATCAGAAGGTCAAAGGCTGTGGGTGACAGTGGCTCCTCTGCTTTGGTCCCATTTGCTCTTGCTCCCCTGCAGGTTTTATGGCTTCTGTAGTTACAGAATCCCAGAATGGTTTGTGTTGGAAGGGACCTTAAAGATCATCTTGTTCCACCCCTTGCCATGGAGATGCTCCAAGGGCTGGAGCCCCAGTGCTCTGGAGCCAGGCTGGGAGAGCTGGGGGTGTTCCCCTGGAGGAGAGAAGGATCCAGGGAGACCAGAGAGCCACTTCCAGTGCCTAAAGGGGCTCCAGGAGAGCTGGAGAGGGACTGGGGACAAGGAATGGAAGGACAGGACAAGGGGGAGTGGCTTCAAAGAGAAAGAGGGGAAATTTGTGTTGGATATTGGGAGGGAATCCTTCCCTGTAAGGGTGGGGAGGCCCTGGCACAGGTTGCCCAGAGCAGCTGTGGCTGCACCATACCTGGAAGGGTCCAAGACCAGATTGGAGCAACCTGGTCTAGTGGAATGTGTCCCTGCCCATGGCAAAAGGGTGAAATGAGATGATCCTTAAGATCTGTTCCAACCAAAACCATTCCACCATTTATACAGAAGGATATAAAATACAAACCAGTATATGAGCATGTGGCGTAAACCCAAGAAAAAATATGAAAGATACGGTTGATTGGAAGAGCCAAAAAAGTTAGAAAAAAATGGAATTCTTAGTAAAAGAGTATGACAAGAAATAAAATAATATCACTAAATAGGAAAACAGGAAAATTACAGAAACTAGAAAAAAAATTGTCACCATTGACGTAGAGGCTGTCCTTGTGCAGGCTGTAGGGGCCCAGCTGGGTGATGCCTCTGGTCTTGTTGCTCACTTGGTGGTACAGGCCCACCCTGTCCAAAGGTGGAGCCGAGGGCTCCTTCCTGTACGTGCACACGGCGTCCACCCGGGTCTCGTCCCTTTGGCTGCCCGGCCTGCAAAGCACAGGGATGTCACTGAGCAGCATCCTCTGTGCCTTCTGTCTCAAAGGATGGGTCCTGGGGCTGCTGTGGCCATCCTTTGAGAGAAGGCAAACTCTCCCTTCCAAAGAGTGTGGGGGTTGTGCCCTGCCACTGCTCTCCAACTCCCCTAATCCCCAGGACATGTTCAAGAAGCACAGGGCCAGCAGGACTTTAGAGTCATCTTGGAATTAGGCCTTCACCACCCCGAGAAGGGAGGGCAGGCAGCGAGGGGAGGCTTTGCGGCAGGAGAGCGTCAAGGAGAAGGTCCTGCCTCTGTAGGAGAGGCGTCTACAGAACACGACAGTGACAGGCCACCGGCCCTGAGCAAGGAAACTGCAAAGGAACATTCAAATACAGCCCATACCTGAATGCTGTTGATTGACATCCCTGGAAATCAGGGCCAATGGTGCTTCCCTTCAGCAGGCGGTCGAGCTGCCAAGGGGACGGTTGCACAGTTAAATCCAGGCCAGATCCCTGCACTGCCACCAAGTTAATGAGACCAGGAGGGGCAAGGATATATCCCCTTCTGGTTCACTTACCAAGGTGTTCATGACTCGTTGTGTCGACTTGAACCTTGCTGAGTCAGGCTTGGCCAGGTCGGAATTGTAGGGGAGGTTGGTGATGGTGAAGTTGACGGTGAAAGGCTCGAGGGCGGCAGCTGTTGGTGCTGGGTGGGGGGGAGCTGCAAAATACAGAGATAGGGAGTGAGGAGGGAGCAGAGTGAGAGTGACAGGGCCCTGTCTGGACAAGTGCAGGATTCTCCTGCCAGCCCATTGGAAAGGCTTTCAGGCTCCCTGCGTCTCTCTGGGACCTCAAGTCCCAGCCCCCAACACCCTCAGACTGAAAGAGGAGCCCACGAGGCACTTGCTGCCCTCTGAGCTCCAGCAAGGTACTCACTGGGCAGGACTGGCTGCTCGTTGTAGCCTGGGAAAAGAGAGAGACAGAGGGTCAGGAGCTGGAGCTGGGACAGTGGCAGCACTGGGGGTGGCTGGTGGGGGAGAGCAGAGGGGGCAGAGAGAGGAGCGCGGGTCACCGTTGACGTAGAGGCTGTCCTTGTGCAGGCTGTAGGGGCCCAGCTGGGTGATGCCTCTGGTCTTGTTGCTCACTT